ATATATCATATATATATATATATATATATATATATATATATATATATATATTTTGAATGTTCTCTATACCTCCTTTGCTTCAACTATTTTTTCTATGACAACATTTTTCTCCTTTATAACATTTTCCATACTACTGAAATCAATATATTATATGAAGATGTTTCAAATCCTTTTTCTTTGTTCTCCCTCTTAATTGCTGCCTGTTATCGTAATAGGCAAGCCATTGGTGATGTTAGGTCACTTATTCTAAACAATCAATCAACAACTTTTTGTTAGAAGATGTTGAATACATCTTCGAAGCATAAATCTTTGTTATTTTTTAAGAATTATCCATTTATTCTACATTTCATTTTGGTTCATCTCTCAACAATCACCATGCATGCTCAAATTTGAAATTTCTAGCTACATCTTGTACATAGGGATGGCAACATGTTGGGACAGGGACAGGTTTTAATATCTTTGTCCACGTCCTCAAGTTCGTATCATAAACCCATCCTTATCTTTGATAGTCGACAGGTATGAAATTTATGTCTTATCTCTGTCCACATTAAGCATTGAATATACTCGTAACTGTCTCGTACTAGATTAAAATTAATTAAATATTTTTTTACAAGAAAATATTAAAAAAAAAACAAGAATTTAAACATAAAGTAACTATTAAAAAATTATATTAATTAAGTTTCATCTAACATAAATTTAAAATAGAATAGAAATTACATAAATTTCAAGTAAATTTTATAATAAAAAAAATGTAAATTAAGTTTCTAGAAATTTAAAGTGAGGATGGAGAGGGGAACAAGTATGAGGTGAGTAAGTATATATTCATCTTTATCTCCATACTCGATTTAATAAATTGAATATTACCTGTACTCACACTCATGTTCGATCAAATTGAGTATTTTTCATTAAAGTCAAAATGAGTTTGATCATTATCCATGTGTACGAATTTATTTCTCATTCATACTTGAACATGTGAAAAACTTGTGACTTCTATGTGTACTCCAATCCTAAGTCATAGTAGTTTGTCATGTGCAACAATCACTTGGATCTTTCACATGGAGTTCACGTGAAAGGTGAAAATCTTCTTTTATCTTAAAAGAATTAAAAAAAAATACATGGTATGGAAAGGTATTAACCTTTCTAAGATGGGAAAAATTTTCAAAACAAACCGATATTAATAATTTTTTTGTAAAAAGGGCCACTATGATTAAAGAGCCTGCTTTGTTATAGCTTCACTTTTGATTCCACCAAGGATATATCTTCATTACACATATAAATACTTGCTTATTCTCAAATAAGATACTATTCATTTTTAACACAAACTTTATATTAAAATATAAATATTAATAAATTGATACATTAATGAGACAAATTCGAGCGTAGTTGTTTGGCTATGCGAATTATTATAAGGTGATAATTACCCTAACGAAAATGCTGAATCGATCTTTCAAATAGAATCGCCGAAATTAACTGAAACACAGATAACAAATATCATATTTTAAATTCTTTTGACAAATGTTACTTTATTAATTTTTTCAAGATGATTCCGCATCACTGTTACCGTTATCACAGTGTCTGGAATTTTCACAAAACGACAAGTTACTGATCCTATCATGCATTTATGGGTGACGTGAATGAATTGAAATTGCTTAATTAGTCGACATATAGAGTATTAAATTAATTAAATAGGGTGCATTAAAAACGTGTGTTTTATGAAGCTATGGTGGCGTGAATAGTGGTCCATAATATCAATGGAGTCTTCACACACGTTTTTGTTCCCTGGAAGACAAACGGTAGTGGGTGAGAGGACCACAGTTACTTTAATTGTAATATTCCATCCACTCTGTTTGGTAGTTTTCTTTGGTAACCATTGTATTTGGTACTGTGATTATGAGAGAGGCATGCAAACAGAACCCATTACTGGAATAGCAACCAAATGGACATATAATGGTGCAAACGGGTCAAGCACTAACTCCCCTATTAGAAAAAGCTGATGAAATTGTTTCCATAGATAAACATTAAGCAACAATCCAAAAGTTGCCTTCAATTAGTAAACGCAACTACTTAGGTTATACTTTAAAATAATTATAACTTTTAGGAAAACTCTACGGAACAGTCGCATATTTTATTTTTATTTTTTATTGTAATTATTTATTTTATTTTTATTTATTATTTTAATAATTTATCTTTATAAAATTTTCTATATTTTTAAATTATTTTTATCATTTTTAAATTTTATCATAATGTAACATCTATTATATAATTAAATAATTTAATATTAATATTTTGTTAATACGTTTTAATACCTTTTAGTGTTAATTTTTTTAATTTATAGTATAAATTAGTTTTTTAATTATATTATTTATTATTTTTATAATATTATTATATTTTTTGTTTTTAATTTTTTAATTCAGTCACATATAAATAAAACTTGTTATGAAAATTAATTTTTGATTATTTTTTTTGAATTAATTTTTTTGATTGATTCATTTTCTACAAATCTTTTATCTAAAATTTATGTTATTTTAAATTTACTTTTTAAAATTTATTTGATCACATAATTTGAAGTACCAAAACTCTTCAATTATTATGGGTACCATAGCAGTTCCCAAACTTACATATATATATATATATATAGTGTCCAACATACTTCCATATGATGACTAGACATTTACATGTATTTTGATAATAATATGATAAAAATGTTATATATCATAAGTTTAATAAATTATAAATTTAGTTCAATCTTATTTCTAAAAATAAGTTCTTTTTTATGTTGAATATATCAACTTTAACATTTGAAACAGACACACTAATAGTGTTTTTGCTTTCACATTCTCGACGCGATTTTTCACGTTCAATTAGAAAGTAACAATTATAATTTCCATATTTTTTTTAGATAAATTGACGTAATTTTTAACTTTTTAATACGTTTCTAAACATACACTATATGTCTTAGATTGTCATTTATGAAAGAGCAAATACTCGTCGGGAACTATAAATAAATAAATTTTCTTACTCGATAATATAATTTTCTGGCACTACTTTTTAGGAGAAGTATTGAGTGTAAAGTAATCAAATACATTTAATATCTCTTGAATGTAAATATTTACCATAAAAGATAGGAAGAGAATTTGTGAGAAGATGAAATGTGTTATTTTAGAAGTGCAAATTCATGGCACATGCTTATATCTTTTTCCTCAAGCAGCACCGGCAGTGAGCTTTAGTTAGAATCCCACTATGGCAACTAGATAAAAAGTTACATTGACAACCCTACCACTCCCCCATTATTATTTTTCTTTCTTGAATTGACCGAGGCAATACCTCAACAATATATTTGAGATAAGAAAAATGGAGACAAGTGTGACATAGAAGAGTGGGATATTAATTAATTGCATCTGATAAATACAAACACGAGATGATCAATTATTCATATGCATGTGTGCACTGCAAAGTGCAAACTACTCAATTGGAATCACATTTGGAAGCCAAAGATTCAACTTGAGCTTTTCCACTAGGTCCTTTTGTCCTAATGAAAAGTCTATACTCATCAAAGGTCATTGGTGAGTAGAGTGCTGGCCTATCCTTAGTCACAAGTTCCTCGGCAGGTTGAATCAGAATATCGCTTCTGGGATTATAGAAAAAGGCCAATGAAACTCGATCTTTGTTGGAGTTCACAATCACCCTGTGCTCTATACTCTTGTAAATTGCATTGCTCAGCACCTATAAAGATAATCAAGGTATTGAAATAGTTAGAAACAATTATTAATTGTATAATTATGTCACCCCAATAAAAAGTTCTCTGTATAATATAATATAAGTACTAAAGACATATGTTTATTAAGTTGGATAAATATTCTCAATTTTTGTTTGGACAAGACTTAAATCCAGTATTATAGGTGCTGCTAAAAGTATTATAGGTACTGCTAATTATTCTATGACCAGATTAAAGTTTTATCTTCATTATATACGTTAATATTTAATAAAATTAAATATTACATATATTATCAAAGTTAAACTATAATTCTGATAGGTGATATTGGTGAATAACAACTATAATACTTCACTATATGTTTTTTTAATATCAACCCAGTCGTATAAGAAATGATGAGAATGGTTGAATAATGAATGTTCTAGATAGAGACCTGAATTTGGTCACCCATGTTGATGATGAAAGCATTTGGGACAGGCTTAACAGTGATCCAATCATCTCCTTTGCGTACTTGGAGTCCAGACACATTTTCATCAGGGAGAAGAATGGTCATGCCACCAGGGTCTGAGTGAGAGGACAGCCCCATAGTGAGGTCAGGTTGTGGGCACTTTGGATAGAAATTCACCCTTAAGCAAGCACCAAGATCTTTTTCACCACCAAATGCATTTAGGAGGAAATCCTCTCTAAGCCCAAGATTTATTGACAATATCTCAAGCATCCTTCCTCCTAGCTTAACAACCTCCTCACCATATTCAGCAATGATTTTCCTATTATATCAAGAAAAGAAACTTAGGGAAAACAAAAATTTGGAAAGAAATTAATTAAAGGTTGTTTTGTTCTTCTTAGATACATGCACTATGAAAGTAATTTACAATATTACTCATTCAACTATAGGGAAAATGAGGAAAAAAATACTGCACTCTTATTTTGTAAAATGAAGCAGTCAAGAAATAAAAAATTTATAAGAACTAAACCGAACTTTTTAGAGTCAAGAAACTTATAGTTTCCAAATGTCTAAAATGGAAATTTACGAAAAAAAGGAAAAGAAATGCTTTTTAGACATTATTTTGAAGCCTCATGCATATATTTTTTATGAAAAAAATTGGTAGACACCAGTATCTCTAGTTAATGCTTATAAATGGAAGGAGAGAAAAAATAATAAGTATACAACAAAAATAATAATAATATTAATAAAATACATACACATCACTCTATCCTTTACACTTTTTATGTGAACAACACTTGTACACTTTATTCATGTCAGAGAGGGGTAGGTTTTGCCCCCCGTATGAATAAAATTCCAACAAGAAACGACACACTAGCAAAATACTCAATTCCTCACCACAAAGAAAAGATTACTTAATTCCTCACCACAAAGATTCAAAACAACCCCCAGCTACAATTTTTTATTCTTCTTATAAATTAATGATCTTTCATACCAGGCAATGTGGTCTCAATAAGGTCTTTATAAAATTTAAATCTCTAGGAAAGCGTTGGGTTCAGGTGACTAGATGATCAAATTATAGTATGAGAAACTGTACATAAAACCTACTTGTATAATTTCTTGTAAATATAAGATTAAATAATTATCCTAAAATAGTATAATATGAATAATATACTTTTATAAATAGAAATAAAAATAAAAATTGGCATGTCTATGCATGTAAAAAGGGAAATATAAGATCGAATATGCTATAATCCATTTATTGGATATTTTATTCCCACGCAGATTGTTATCTGAATTTCTCTTATCTCCTTCATTACTGTAATAATTTTTTTATATATTATGTTGACCAGATATCTTTATGACTAATATCCTCACGTTTTTTATATGGGTGTACGGTGTACTTATTTACGTTTCAAAGTGATGTTATTACTCCACCATACACCAACCGTAGTAAGCTTACTTGCAGGTTCCTAATGATGAATTAAAAATATGAAGATCCTCTTCTTGTACTACACGGCTTTGTGGAGCACAATCCAACTTGAAAGTGTCCAAGTTTCATGTTGATAACACTTACAAAACCTTAATATAAAGGACACAAGTTTTAGGTACCCACCCCTTTAATAATAATTTAGTATAAACGCACCTACTGCGTACCAAATGAGACAAAATCAGAAAGAATCTGATTTATGCACATGTTTTCCGCACTTACTTTTGCACTAATTCTAAAAAAGATATATTTTTCTCTCCTTTGTTTTAGTCGGAAGATTTAATATTTTATAAATACTAGTATAATATTGATGTGAAAAAATCATCATTTTTTTCCAATTTAAAAAGTTATCACTTATGACGTGTTTGGCAACTTATTTAAAACGTAGCCTATTTTATAAAAGATATATTTATCTTTAAAAAGAATAGTTTATGAAAAACAAATTCTGAAACATGTACTTAAAAATATAATGAAGAGAAGGGTGAAGTGTTTTTTTAAAAAACAAATTTGTCGACCTAGTTTTGAGATTATCAAGGAAATTATTACTTTATAAGTATCTTTCTCTCAATAAAGTCTATTTTACATCTTCAAATTTTAATTAATTTGATTAAGAAATATAAATTATAAACTAGTAATTAGGGGGGGACATACCTTAAGGATGTTGGGAGGGCCGGCCACTTGGCTTGGTCCCTAAGGGAACAAGGCATGTAATGGAGAAAGAAGTAGTCACTCCAATCCAAAATGGCCCCTTTTTTCACTCCCAACCTACTTCCATACCCTTCATAAGTGAGCGGTGAATTTGCATACTCCTCTTTCACCTCAAGTGGTTGGTGAAAGAACTCACGCCACACCTCTCTAGCACTCTTCATCAACTCATGGCTCACACCATGGTTCACAACTTGAAAGAAACCCCACTCCTTACAAGCCTCCGCCACGGAGCGGAGCGCCTCCTCCCTCCACCCCTCACCACCGCCGCCATAGATGTATTTCATGTCAATCACGGGGATGTTAATGTTGTCATGATCATGAGTATGAAAATTGGCTAGGTTTGGATTTGAAGCATGAGAAGTGTTATTATTAGTGACTCTTTGGGACTTAGGCTTTATGAAACGGTCGGGGATTGTGGTTAAGCCACTCTCGGCCAAGGCTTGGACTCGAATCACTGGCTCTGGCCACTGTTGGCATGCCATCATTTTTTTTTAGGTGTTGTACAAAACAAAGCAAAAGGGTATTTAGATAATGGAAGGGAACACCACAGCACACTATATACTAGTAGTGTGTTTATGTGTGATTATTGTGACTTGTTGCTGTGAGCAACATGGGGTATATATAGAACGCAAGAACACCAAGGCTAAAATTTCGGCGCCGTGATAAAATTGATTTGTTCATCGCCGTAATATTATTTACCATTTTATGGATAAAATCAATCAGTTGTAGCATTATGAGAATAATAATAATAATCTATACAGTTTTTATTTTAATTTTTTTAATAAATTTGTGGAAAAATTGTCAAAATAATCTTTGATGTAATAAAGTTGATTGATTAAAGGGATTTGTGCCTAATTAATAATATTAAAAGAGGAAAATAGGGAA